AATTGAAATGGAACAACACTGACTGTAAAACTGCTGATGTGATCTGTAAAACGCCACCAAATTAACAATAAAAATTTTTTAATTAAAAAAATGACTAAAGGTCATGGCAGCAGTTTTTTGGAATGATCAAGGCATTTTGCTTGTTGACTTTCTGGAGTGCCAGAGAACAATTTTTGTTGCTGTTGTTAAGTGCTGCTGAGTTGGCACCAACTCATAATGACCCTGTGTAGGGTTTCCAAGGACTCCTGGTGTGGCGCTGTAGGATAAGCACTCATCTGCAAGGCTGGTTTTCAATGCAAGTTCGGCAGTTCAAACTCAACAGCAGCTCCTCCGAAACCCTATATACAAGGTCACTGTGAGTCTGAACCGACTCGATAACACTTAACAACAACGACATAGGGTTTCCAAGGAGTGGCTGATGGGTTTGAACTGTTGACCTCGTGATTAGCAGTCCAGTGCTTATCCTACAGTACCGCACCTGGACTCCACTACAGAACAGTCATCTCTTCTATTTTTATGGTATTTTGAGAAAGTTAACCAAAACTTTAGCAGAAATATTCCCAGGAAAGCTTTACCTGAGAATCCTCCACTCTAACAATGTTCCTGATCATTCCTCTCCTCAAAACCAGGTAATTATGCAAGAGTTTCTGTGGGGAGTCCCTGGGCATCTACCTGACAGTTCTGATTTGGTTCCTTCTGACTTCTTATTGTTTCCGAGTTTGAAAAAAAATCTTTAAAGGACAATCTTTTTTCCCCTCCAGTTACTAATGTTCTTTAGAGATAGACTAAATCACTCATATCATTGCATATGAAAGTGCCTTGACCTTGGCAGAGCTTATGCTGAGAAATGAAGTGAATATATATAGTTTATCATTTATTTCCATTTTTAAAGTCTCCTTATATATTTGTTTTCTCAGTGTAATGGTTACGAATCAGGCTGTGAACCTCAAGGTCAGCAGTTCGAAACTACCAGCTGTCCCCGCGCGAGAAAGATGAGGTTTTCTGCTCCCATAAAGATTTACAGCCTCGGAAACTCTGTACAGGGTCGCTATCAGTCGGAACCGACTCCACGGCCTATAACAACAACATAAGACAGTAGATATTTCTGAGAGAAGAAACCATGCCAGTTATCTTTGTATCCCTTCTATAGTGCCCCTGAAGAGTAATTTGTACAAAATGAGTACTGAGCAAATGTTGGTTTAGGAAGAAACTGTCTTATTACTTAATAATCACAATGTGCTTAGCATAAGGCAAGTTTGCCTTGAAAGCTATCCAAGGGCATTTAGTTATTGCAGTACCTAAACAATCTCTTTTAAAGTCGGTTCTGAGGTCAGCATTAATTGAGGCTCAGGGTTCTGAGATTTAACAACAACAGACTAAGCCTTGCTCACTTCAAATGACTACATAAATGTGGCATGTTAACAACAAGGTATGTAAAACATTTACATTCCTATTGATTACATGGAAGAGCAATCACTCCTTCAGAAATTTATCTAGTTTACCAGCAAGCCAAACTACTGTCTCAATCCACCAGATGAGCTAGAAGCCATTAGTTGGGATTCCCAAAGGCAACCGATACATTCTTTCCTATTGAGTTCAACAGCTCGAGTACCTGGATGGGTATATGTTACTCATCATTATACACAGGAGCTCTGGTAGCGTAGTGGTTACGAATCGGGCTGTGAACCTTAAGGTCAGCAGTTTGAAACTACCAGCCGCTCCGCGGGAGAAAGATGAGGCTTTCTACTCCCGTAAAGATTTACACCCTTGGAAACCCTGTACAGGGTCGCTATGGGTCGGAACCAACTCGATGGCACTTCACAACAACAAAATGTGACCTATACAATCCTGCCAGAAGCCTTTAGCTCACTGAATTTGGATAGTAAGCCTCTTCATCCTCTTAATGATGTTTTTTTAAAAAAAAAAAGTACTAAGCATGAAAACCAGGTTTCGACATGGCTGGCTGATGAGACCGTGGAGTGGTTCAAAAAGAAAACAAACATTCTAATTTCTTATCTTAATAGTCACACATAAAAGATAACCTGTATATCATCTTACTACGTTGCTTTGAGATAATAATTTGGAAAATTTGTTGTTGTTGTTGTTAGGTGCCATCGAGTCGGTACCGACTCATAGTGACCTTATGCTCAGCAGAACGAAACATTGCCCGATCCTAGGCCAACCTTACTACTATTGCCATGCTTGAGTCCATCAATGCTGCCACTTGGCCAATCCATCTCGTTGGGGGTCTTCCTCCTTTTCTCGGACCATCACCTTACCAAGCATGATATCCTTCTCTAGTGACTGGTCCCTCCTGACAATATGTATGAAGTATGAGAGATGAAGTTTGGCCATCTTGGCCTCCAAGGAGCACTCTGGCTGCACTTCTTCCTTCACAGATCTGTTGGTTCTATGGGCAGCCCATGGCACTTTCAATATTCTCCTCCAACACCAGAACTCAAAAGCATCAATTCTTCTACGGTCTTCCTTATTCACTGTCCAGCTTTCGCATCCATATGAGGTTATTGAAAATACCATGGCTTGGGTCAAGTGCACCTTAGTCCTCAAGCTGATATCTTTGCTCTTCAACACTTTAAAAAGGTCTTGTGCAGATTTGCCTAAGTGCCCATTAAAAGCTGCAAAAGATGGTACAAGCAACTGATTAAGAATACTATTCAGAGTAGGCAGTAACAGTTACATGGAAAGGCAGATGAAATTGTCAGTGAATCTAGGTTACTATACTATCTTGTAGAGCAGACACCATCTGCTCTGTGATACCTTTCCCAATAACTACAATCATCTCAGGTTTGGACCACATCTGGCAGAAGAATGCAGTGAGGATGAACACAGCAGAAAGGACGCAAACCCAGGTCCCAGTTCTATAGACTACAACTGTGCTGTCCAAGAAGGCAGCCATTAGCCACATGTGGCTATTTAAAGAAGTGAAATTAACTACAACTTAAAAATCAGCTTCTCAGTCGTACTTGTCACATATGGTGAGTGCCTACTGTATTGGGCAGTATAGATATAAAAACCCTTCCAGAAAGTTCTACAGACTAGCACTGGACTAGAAAGTGACATTCCTAAAGTTCAGATAGAACTGTTAAGAAATTTAGACTCAAAGCCAATAGTTCCATTAAGCATCAATAGGGGTAACAATGTTTATCTGCATATTTTATTGAATTTATTAATAAATTAGAGATTTGGGGAGATAAAATTTCTAGACATCTGTATCATCACAGGATTTATTCCCCCTCCACCCCACCCCCAAGCTCTCTCTCTCTTTTGTATAAGGATAGGAAAGAGAGAACATTAGGGAGCCAGGCCCTTTGATTTAGTGTTTCCCCATCCACGGAGCTAGGTAAACCACCAAAACCAAGTGGATTTTAGAAGAACCTACTTTCCTCCCCAACCCCATTCTCACTGACTTCAATTAGCATATTGAAAGACAACCGAGAAAAAAAAAAATCAAGAGAAAGACAGGAAGAATTCAAGAAAATAACTAAGACAAAATGTATGGTTATTCTAAATTACTGTTCCAGGACACCCAAGGAAAAAGTGCCACAAATCAAGAAGAATGCTTCCAAAAATACACTGTGAACACAATTCAACAAAACCATAGTACTTTTCAAAGTTAGCAACCCCTAGGGAGGTGCCAAGTGATTTGCTACTAACAATTTAAAGTACTGAGTTTTCAACAAGAGCCACCCACTCTGGTTGGACCACCTGATTCATGGCAAATAAAAGAATCACATAAGTCACCTTCCATTCATGGCATTGTTAGAATCCTGAGGTCATCTGGTCCTCGGAGAGAGGCCATGCTTGACAGTAAATAAAAATGAACTATAGTAATAAGATCCTACTTACTAGAACTTTCCAGTTCACAATCTTTCAAAAATGAAGTTAAAACATACTTTTACATAAAGTAGACCGTTTCAATGAAACCTTATAAAGCTCAACAAAAATCCAAAAGTACCAGGAAAAAGAAAACCATTAGTGTTCAGACACTGGATGCTATGTAAACCTCCATTCTATCACTGATTAAATATTTGCTTGCTACTTTGCCATGTTACCGCTCTGTACCACACTAAAGAACATTTAATATCTTAGTGACTGAACAATTTGAATGCAAACTCAAATTTAATCAGCACATGAAAACCACAAAACTTATAACCTATCTGTTTAAGAGGAGGCTCGCTTATATACTCTGGAAAACTGAAAATGCAAGAGTTAAAGCCCTTCTTCAGATAAGCATGATGCTGCAGTGGCTGACCAAGTACAGCCCTGGCAGAGCCAGCTCTGAGACAATGCTAAGGACCATGCAGTACACAGACTCAAGAGGCTCGGTCAGCAGCTGCTACATCTCCTCTACCCTATGGGAAGGTGTATCATGAGAATCAGACCTCCCTGTCTATATCCAGCACATTTCAAAGTCCGTGCACATGTTCAGTAGCATAGTCAGTATCAGAAGTTATCAAGCCTCACAGTCCCCTCTCTGGCTCCCTAGCTCTTGCCCTCCACACTCAGCCTCAATGTTTGCTTTCCTCCTCTTCACGCTCTTTGAATTTCAACACAGAGAGGGAGGTGACTTTGGGTCACTTTGTGGATAGCATCCTTTTGGAGGAAACTCCCCTCATTAAAGGAGACAACAATCGTCTTGTACACAGAAGCCAGGTGGGGTATTTCACTTAAACCTTCATAACTCCTATTTCTTCCTCCTGATGAGGACCGGGACGTCAAAACTGCCAAGTGATCATGTAAACATGAATGATCTCTAAGCTAAAAAGGTAGCTTGGGTCAAAAAGGCAGTGACCTGAAATCTACCAAATCTGCAAACACCATTCTTCATTTCAGGCATTCACAACCCCATTGGGTGTATAAACACCCACCAGCAGTTCACACAGCATGCAAGACAAATACAGTTTGTAAAATGTGCTACAGCCAGTGTGGGTTAATGGGGCTGTGTCCAGCTCCAACCACAGGGTAGAGTTCATGCATACCTTTCAGTTTTCTGGAATTTTCAGTCTTTTGCTGTTCATCTTCTTCATTAATGGTGAATAAACCAAGGGGAATTGGCCTTGCATTGGTCTTCTTCAGTTTCTCTTGTCGGATGGTTGTGACTGATCCAGGCATATCGCTTCTACTTGCTTTTTTTTTTAATTATTATATTAAAATTATAAGCTTATGTAATTGCAGCTCCCGGGAAGCTGCTAGTTCCTAAGCTGCCAGTTCATTTGAGTACTTGTAATAGATCCCCTATGGGTAAACAGTGTGCAGACAGCTGACAGATACTACCAGCCACTTGGCAACTGAGGCCCTGCAGTTCCCCCTCACCTAGCAGCAACCCCCCAGCCTCCCCATTCAGCCCCCTCCTACTTACTCCCCACAGGCACACACTTGCACTCTCTCTCTCTCTCTCTCTCTCTCTCTCTCTCTCACTCACTCACTCACACACACACACTTTCCAGAAAAGCCCTGATGGAAGGCACACACATTCTGATGCTCCCTCCACTGCCTAACCTGTTCACTCAGAGTCCAGCTTCTCCTTCCTGCAGCAACACCTTTCCTAATCTGCTTCCTGAGACCACACAGGAAAATATTCAGCACACAACACCAGAGGGGCAAATATGATACGCTGCCTTCATTACCAGTTGCCCTGACAACCCTGACTTCTTCTAATCAAGGAGGTCTGGGAGTGGCTGCCCGGCTGGGCTGAGAGGCGGCAGCCTGCTGCTGGCTGTCGGGATGCAGGTCCTGGGAACTCACCCACTGAGGATTACAGCGTGCAGTGGGCAGCAGCAGTCAGTCCCTCTTCCTCGGAGAGGCAGCTCCCTCTTCCTCTGGGAGGCAGGAGCAACAGGGTGGGAGGAGAAATGGTGTTTTGCTTGCACCAGCAGCAAAGAATGTCTCAGTAGTGAGAAAGGGCTCAAGGCAGGCAGATTTTTTCTTCTGTGTTTGGCCAAGTTTTCTGCCATAGCCCTGTCTGAATGGAGGCATGGCTGGTGCCCACTCTGTACTCAGTGTTCCCGACGTTCCTATGACGTTCCTAGAAGCCCAGCGCCTGGAAGCCCACAGCTTTGACAGCACATGTCACGAGGAATACAAGTGTTGTGTACCAGTGACCCTCCAGTGAAGACAGGCAAGATAGGGCTGTACCTGTTCAGGAAACTGCCATCAGCCCCCACTGCCCCGGGCACACACTCACCAATCCCCAACACTTGACCCAATTTTACTTGTTTTTTGGACTGTTTTCTCCCAAGAACACAGTCATGTGATTACTGTTTTCTCATAAAATCAGCTTTCCCACTTTAAAATCCTTGCTACATTCCCTCTTCTTCAAGTTGCTTAAAATTTAAATTTAGATTACATGGCATTAAAAAAGACCGACTGCCAAATGTTCAAAAAATTCTGTTTTGATGATCTCTACTAAGTTTAACAAAATTATTGCTGAGCAAGGTAAAGCTACAGTTAAAGTGATCATTTCCCCACCTCCCAAGTCAAAAGAAAAGTGAGCCGACAATATTTTATAGGTGGTGTTACAGGTTAGTGTGATGGGCTACAAAGTCTGTTTAAACTGTACGGTTGGCAGTTCAAGCTTACCAGCTGCTCCTTAGAAACCCTGTATAGGGGCACTACGGGTTAGAACCAACTCAACTGCACTTAACAACAACAACAACCAGGGGAAATGGAAAACGTACTTAAGATTGGCTTTTTTCCCTTTACATTTTGTTACTGAGAATATGTACGGCAAAACTCACACCAATTCAACGGTTTCTCCATGACCAATTTAGCGGCACTGATGGCATTCTTCAAGCTGTGCAGCCTCTCTCACGCTCCCGTTCATCCTCCACTACAGAAACTCGCAGCCACCTAAGGTTCCTATCTAATCTTTCAAGTTGCTGCTGTCAATCTGATCCTGGATAGAAAGCTCTCCAAAGAGTATAATGATTTAGGTAGGCTTTTTTTAAAAGTAGCTACACTAAACTACGGTTCAGTTTTAAGGATGCTTTCAGGGGATATTTTTGGCATAAGGCATTAAAGATTATGTCAGGGCAATAGTTTCAGGGGATCGTCCACACTCCAAGGCTCTAAAAAGACTGAAGTCCAAGATAATTTGAAATTCTGTTGTGCATTTCCCTCCTTTTGATCAGGATTCGTCTATGAACTCTTAGAACAAAATGCTCAGTAATGGTATCCAGGCACCATCTAGTTCTTCTGGTCTCATAGCAAAAGCAGCAAGTTGTTCATGGAAGCGATTAGCTACACATTCCACATCCTTCTCTTCCTGCCAAGACTGCTTTTTAAAAAGCAGAATTAGAGCTGAAATTGAAATGAATCTGCAAAAGATGTATTTTTGTTACCTTCAAAGATGGCCTAAATGGCTGCAATGCTTTATGGGAGAAATACAACAGCAGGACAAAAGCTCCTAAGGGTTTAACTTACTTAGGTTAAGATTTCAAACTTCACAAATGTGTCTCTCTTGAAGCCCCCAGAGCAAGTGAGCCCTTCAGCAGCACCTCTGGGCACCGAGACTGCCAGGGACACCAGAACTGAGTGCTCCTTCCTGAGGTCTAGCTGATCAATAGTCCTCCTCTTCCGCTAATGTCACTACGACATTCCCCACGCCAAAGATGCGACTGTTTACTCTCTAACCTGAAGGGTCCTGTGAAGAATTTCAACTTGCATCCAAGTGCAGACATTCCCAAATGGGCTGTTTTTTTGTTTTGTTTTGTTTTTAACAGAAGCACATGCTGTGATTATGCTTAAAATCATTTACTGGTAGACATGAGAACCTAGCCAAAGGAGGCCCCAAATCACTGCTATCACACAACCCACAAGGCAGTGTAGTAAAGTTAAAAAACGAGGAGTAGCCATGATTTTAGAACATGCTCAGCTTTAAGTCAGATGCTGTGCTAGGTACTTTAGATATGCTGCCTTTGCTAGTTGTCATAACCCTGCCTAAGAGAAGAGTTATTACCATCTGACATAGCAAATAATCAAAGAGGTTTAAAAATTTGCCCACAAACAAGAGAGAAACCCTGAGGTTAGCAGCCCAATTTGTAACCACTACGCTACCAGGAAGGGAGATTATTGTTGTTGTTATGTGCCATGGAGTCGGTTCCAACTCATAGTGATCCTACACAGGGTTTCCGAGGCTGTAAATCTTTATGGGAAGAGAAAGCCTCATCTTTCTCCCGCGGAACAGCTGGGAGTTTCAAACAGCCGACCTTGCGGTTCGCAGCTCGATTCGTAACTAGTACGCTACCAGAGTTCCTAGGAAGGGAGATAGGAGACCTTATTTAAATATCACCAAAAGGAAAATGCCTACAACTCTAAATTCCTGAACTCTTCTCTAGCCTAGTAAGCATTTTCAATTAGCTGGGAAATGTCCATGTAAGTCACCTGCAGACACTAAACCTTAACTCCGTCCCCATGGGAACTGGGGCATGTACACCAATGTTACCGACTAAATTGTGTCCCCAAAAAATATGTATTGGAAAGGTGCTTGCGTGCTGCAGATGGTCTGTGTGCAGCTGGAAACCAAAAGGATGGTAATTCAGACCCACCCAGTTACCACAGAAGAACCGGACCTGCGATGGGCTTCTGTAAAGTTTATAGCCAAGTCTACTCTGTAGCCAATGAGGCTTCTCCGAAATGAACACATTTATCAAAAAATGAACACCTCACCAAAATAAGTACTGGACTCATTGCCCCTGAACCTCTAAAATGTAGTCCTGGTTTTAAAACAGGGTTTTCTTTGTTGTATAATTAGATCTTAACTTGAGTAGACTGGTTCTAAGTCTAATCACTTCTGAGTTATAAAAAGAGCAGATTAGACAGATACAAACACTTACGTGGTAAGGCGTGACATAGTGACATGTGAGTATTACCTTGGGGACAACTGATGAGGAAGAAATCAACATGGCTGAGACCCCAATTTGAACTTCTAGCCTCTAGAACAGAGAAAATAAACCTCTGTTTTTTAAAACCACATACTTGTGGTATTACTGTTACAGCACTAGAAATCTAACACAACCTCCAACAGAAAACAAGATTTTACAACAGCTTTGTTTAAATTGTTAAAATAACAAATGATCTCTTAATGGAGACTTTATACACACTTGAGAGAAGTGAGACACTGCTGAGTGCAAAGGGGTACTTTTCAACAAGACGGACTTTATGTCAGAGTTGTTGTTAGGTGCCTTTGCATCCGTTTCTACTCATAGCGACCCTGTATAGGGTTGCTGAGGCTGTATCCGTTTATGGGAGCAGAAAGCCTCATCTTTCTCTCACAAAGTGGCTGGTGGGCTCAAACAGCTGACCTTGTAATTAGCAGTTCTTATCCTCGAGCGGCACCAGCGACCCTTTGTAGTATAATCATAAAATGCATTAGAAAAAAAAAAGCATTAGCAATCATCATAGGAAGTTGTGGTCCGTTCCAGCTATTCACAGTCAAAATGGCACTATTCACACACAATGTGAACCAAAGAGACCAATAGGGACCAATAGGACCTTGAGGAATGGCTGCTGACTTGTAATTGTGACCTACCTAGCTACAGTCTATGAGTGTATATGAATGAGTGGAGCTTGATGAGTTTTAGGGGACTCATTGGGGACACAGCACAGCCATGAATAAATCCAAAAATATCCTCTTACAAAGAGAAATCTGCTTAACCAACTAGAGGCATGCCTAAAGTTTCCCTTTCTAAAAACCCAAGGAGCTTTAGATAAACACTGTTGGAATGGGAAATAGCCCGATTTGTACGATTTAAGGAGTGTAGCCGAAAACAGAAATTATTACTGCTGGGTTGAATGGCCAGTCACAGGTAAATTACAAGCTCGATATACATCTAAGCTATTTACTTTTCAGTAAGACCCAGGAGTGCCCAAATACTTTCCCACATGTCTACATTAGTGGAAATGATGAATTCCTCCAAACTATTGGACTTCAGTTAGCTTTTAAATATTTAATTCATTCCCCAAGGTAAACTGTAATTTGCTCCTAGTGGAAGTTACAGAAATCCACATTTTAATGGAACTTAAAAACCTCATATGGTTTGAAAACTACAAAAGCAGCAAAGGCTGGAATGGAATCAAGCATTCCCCGTGGAACAAAGGGACCCAGCTGGTTT